ATTGTCGCATGTTCCAAGGAACACAGCCTTTCTTAGGTCTTATAGACGGCGTCAAATGGGTGGAGCCTTTTCGTCTCGGCCAGTCCTATGACGTCATACCTGGTCCTTCTTGCGCACACGATCAAGACCTCTATCGAGGACTCAGATGCAAGTGTGCGTAGATTATAGGTACGAATCGTCACTTTGTTCCCTTGCAAATTAGGCAACCTAGATGACCCCAAGATTTTAGCAATCTCTTCTTATTAATCGTCCTACCCAACGCTACCGTTTCGTGGCTCTTCCAGGGTCAGAGGAATGAAGCCCATTTCTTTTACTTTGTTTGGCTTTTTCATACCCACGTGTAGCTCGATGCGCTCTGGATTTGGTTGGCGGGAGGGCGGGGATACTCACTACTGCCAATTAATTCGAGAAGTGGACGTGGAGCTTATTTGTTGGAGACGACTTCTAACCGCCTCGCATATGCTTCATTGTTATTTGAATGCTGATTTTTCGCCGAATTGACTCGTAGAATGCAATACGCATAAACAAGGACACAGCAACGCAAGAACACATAAATACGCCTCGTAGGTACAAAAAATATGTGCCAAATCGAATAGAAGCACGGATTTTATCCCCTAAATCCGTCTGCATCTCAGCGAAACACGGATCGACCTTGGTCCTCGAATAACCTCCTATACACCACATGGAGACGCGCCACGCTGCCTCGTGACTAACGCGCGTGGGATCCGTCTATGAGGGAGGTCCATGGGAGGTGGAAATCACTTGCGATTACTACTCAGATCTCTTCAATAGCTACTTTCTCTTGATCGCATATGAAGTAAAGTAGGATGGATATCCTGTACCTGCAATTCTCCCAACGAAAATCTGACATGCTATCACGTCCGTGAACAATCGAACAGCACATGGTCAGGACAGGATAGGACCAAAACAGCTGAATAACCTTCTGATAGTCCCCATAACCACTCTGGCTCGGCTATTCACACGTTGCCTGTCTGAATACAAGGTGAAAGATTCAATCGAAGACCAATAAGACCGTACTATTTCTCAGGAATGCTGACCTCCAAGATGTCGGCAACTATCGCCAAATCTGCGTGCTATCTGCCGTCTATAAATGTGTTCGTCTTCACTCGAATCTTCTTAAACAGGAATGACAGAACACCCGTCGAAGGACTGCCAATCGAACAATCAGGATTTCGAGAAGGATTTAGTACGATGGGCCACATTCACACGATAACAAGACTCATTGAAGTATCGCCAGAGTACAAAAGACCGCTCAATCTCACGTCCATCGATTCAAAAAGGTCTTGGCTCAATTGAGATACAAGCAGTCATGGAAGCCCTTGATAGTCAAGGAATCCCTACTCAGCACATAAGGATTCTTCGTGAGCTGTGCAAAAATTTCACGACGAAGATGTCACCATTCTACAACGATATTAACATTAAAGTCAAAAGAGCGGTTAGGCAAGACGGCACCATCTCAACAAAATTGTTTACCGCCACCCTAGAGAACGTCATGCGAAGGTTGAAATAGGATCACATGGGAGTGAAAATCGATGGTCGACAATTACAACATCATCGCTGTGCTGACGAAATCGCTCATACAATCAAGCTGAACGAGTGCTTGCCGACTTTGATAAACCCGGTGGAAAAATTGGTTTTCGAACAAATCTCCTAAAAAAGATTTTCACGAATAACAGATTGGTTTCCTATGCCCCATTCACACTCACCGGGACGAATATCTCCGAATACTCCAGTTACGCCTATCTAACTTAACTCAAGAAACCGGGTTGGTGAATGACCTAGCTGCGAAATTTCCCGAGACGTACTTCTTTGAAAAGGCTATAAATTCTATGCAAATAGTGTATAGTGTAAGGTTTTACAGCGTAAGAGGACGGGTGGAGTGTGCGTAATAATGAGTTTGCCACGCGATTCATCTTGACCTGTAGCGGTTTACCAAACCTCAAACCTGGGTTATTAAATCGTTTATACACATGACATTTACAAGACACTGTAATGAGATTCGGAGTGTATGTACAATAAATTACAATTCAAGTAGTTCAGTGGGTAGTAATATAACTAAACAAACTGCACTAACAATGATGTAGAGCTCTATGAAGAAGGTTTAGGAGAGTGTGAGATATGAACAGGAAGGACTGCTCGTGTAACAGTATTATTACAACCACAACAGCTTAAGCATTTACATTATCACAGAGCAAGAATGTGATAGTTATGGCAGGGATGTTTTAGCAATGAGGAGGAAGATTCTTTAGTGTAGAGTACTTGTGAACAATGCTAGTATTTGAGAGAATTGTTATATTGACAACGGGTAGTGGTTACATGAGCATTGATGTTAACCTCAAAGTGTTGATAATACAAGAACATAAGACCTCAGTAAGCATTGTTTTGCCTAGCTGAAATAAAAGAGTTGTGAAAGAAAGATTAGGTGGGAGGGCAAATGACGACGGAAGCTAGTGGCGAACTCCACTCCTCGTCATAAGGCAAATGGCACTGCTAGATTGTGAAAGCGAAATGAGTTCTAGGCTCAAGGCGCGAGTCCAAGGAACCAGTCCTCAAGCAACGACCCGTGTTCTGTAGCATGCCTAGTGGCCTGCCCAATGTTTAAGAATGAATGTGTATGTAAGACAGGCACGCGGGTGTTGTGTCAACTATTTTATGATTCATTGTGCTACATGACAAAAACAATAAACACAAATGCACAGTTGGTACAATAGGTATTGAAGTGGAAGAAAGGGAATATTCCACGAGAGATAGATTCTCTATAGGTCTTTCGTGGTTAGTAAAATAAATGTTTTTTACACATCACCTTTTGTGATACTACTGTGTGATCATGACAACAAGCATTGAAAGAAATAGTTGTTTTAAGGGAAAAGTAGTCGGAAAAGAATTGATGAAGGACGTGTTCTTGAAATCCTATTCCCGCTAAAATCATTCGTTCCGTTGATGCCTAATACATGTCCACGGTAGTCCTAGACTCACTACAAGTGTGCTCAGTGATTTGCCCCTATCAGAGTGAAAAAACGTCTAGGGGTTTCGAATTACAATTACAGCAGACATACGACTTCCGCAGATGGAATCATCGTCGCATCCAAGCACCTGTGGAGCAGGGCGGGGGCGACGTTGTTCTAAGTGTGTCGATTAAACATAAGAATACGACAAAGTTCAATCAGTGTAACACAGAAAATAACTATATCTTACCAATCCGTTCTCGATGACTTCTCAAGCCTGATACACGTTTGCCACTTGGTGCAGGTGCTTCTTATCAATAGCTGGCGCTCAACGATTTACTCCCCTGAAAAATAGATGCATTCATTGTAAAAATATTCCACGGCTAAATACCTCACCCACTTCTTCTCACTAAAAGGATATACGTCAATCTGTTGTGAACGACGCATAACTATTGATTGCAGACGTTGTATACAAATATTGAATATATCGATTTGAACTTCTGTCGAGCGTTGGAGAGCCGTTTTGCGACCGCACGCACGCCACCTGTGACTTAGAGCAGATTCGCTTACATACTCTGTTCTAGAATTTAATTGAATTAGTCAAATAAATTCTTTACGCTTCTGATAGTTGTCAATCGCCTTCGCTCTTCTTCAACATCCTTTCTCCAGGTTAATCTCCTTCTTTCGCTCCTGATTCCGTTTGAGTAGGTGGGAATATTGTTGAATAATAACTCATTCTCTTGCTTCACCAATCTCGTCCTGCTGTAGCAGTGCACCATCTTGGCTAAGTATCACGTTGTCAACGTATACTTATGTATCGTCGTGCTGGAACATGAATTACATAGCATTACACCTTCTTGAACCATGTTAAACCTTAATAACGCCGCTACAAGCCATAATGTTTTCATCATCCAATTGGCTTAACCTAACCTTGCTTAGGCACGCATGTGGTTTACATGAACTTCAAGATAGACTCCGCAAAAAAGCTAGAGATGAAGCGCTAAATAGGTGCGAACAACATCAAGTGGGGGCCCTACCAATAGCACCATTTCCCCCGACGTTCTTTAGACAATAAGAGCCCAATAATGAATTTGATGTTAAATTTCGGATGTTTGCAAATGAAACTCTCAAAGTCCTTAATCACTATCGCGCGAAAACAAACAGCTCAAACCTCACTCCAGTGCAAAAACGTGGTATGCGAGAGGTGCGAGAGCTGATAAGGTTGAAAACCATAAGACTTTCCGTTAGTGATAAGGGTGGAGAGTTTGTCGTAATTCCTCATCAGTTAGATGTGGAGATAACGAAAAAGGATCTTGAGGATGCTTCGCTTTATCGCCCATCATCTGAGGAGGAATTCAAAAGTAAATACCAAGAACTAAACCACGAATGGGCCAAAATGGCAAGGGCTGCTGGTTTAAAACCATCACTTACCTCTCAACTTAAAGTTGACTTACCAACATGCCCGTCTTGTACTTACTTATAAAAACTCATAAGTTAGTATCCAGAGATGATCTTGCGTCTAACGATCCACCACTATTTAAGGTTAGACCTATCATTAGATGCGTAGACGGGCCAACGGACAGGATAACATGGTTTTTGACCCTAATATTTAACCAGTTGTTGAAACACATTCCAGCCCATCTTACGAATACCCAGATGTTTCTGGATCGTATAAGTACTGCGCAGCCCAACAGCGCGTGCGTGATGGAGTCCTTCGACNNNCGTAGACGGGCCAACGGACAGGATAACATGGTTTTTGACCCTAATATTTAACCAGTTGTTGAAACACATTCCAGCCCATCTTACGAATACCCAGATGTTTCTGGATCGTATAAGTACTGCGCAGCCCAACAGCGCGTGCGTGATGGAGTCCTTCGACGTTACCGCCCTTTATACAAACGTGTCGAATGACTCCGAAATGCAAGCCATATTCGAGCTCCTTACACAACACGAAGGAGAAATAAACATGTATGGCTTCAGCATAGAGCACCTGATGGCACTCTTAAAAGAATGCTTGAGCTGCTCAATCTTCAGATGGTCTGGAAAGTACTACGCTCAAATAAGAGAGGGTTGGCAATGGGACAACGACTGGCTCCAAGCCTTGCCATTGCATTTATGTCTAAGGTGAGAGCACCGGTGACTGATCTCGGGCCGCTACTCTACTGTAGGTATGAAGACGACTGCTTTGTCCTTTGCTCAACACAAGAGGAAATGGACAAATGTTTCGAATTGTTAAACGCACAGTCACAGTATATCAAGTTCACCCGAGAAAAGCCGAAAGAAAAACGGCTTCCATTTTTGAACGTATGAATTCACCTATCAGAAAATGACTACATTGCGAAGTGGTACCGAAAGCCAAGTAGTAAAAGCATCTTGGCTCATTACCCTCCTCTCACCCCTCTCACACGAAAAGGGNGTGTCGTGACATTAAACTAACAACTGACTCTATGTATAGTAGAAGGCATCCTCGTTCAATGCGCTACACGTATCCTAAAAATGATATTGTGTTTTCAATAACGTTGCCATGCCTCCATCTCCTCATTCTGCTCACAAATCCACCAAGAGTTCTTTCTGAAATTTCACATCCCAAGCCAATTTTACGATGAAGCTGTGAGCACCTTACTGTTAAGAGACATGGCTGATTTACATTTATATCGCAGATATCTTACAGGTTGGACTATAAACATTAAAACTGCACTTGACGTTTCAATTTTTTGCGCTGGGCCAAAACGTGTTTTCAACTTTACCATTTATGATGGCACTACTTCTGCACTTCATAGAAAAGAATTGGTTTCAGATTTGGACGCCGTACTCTTATGCTCTGGCTTGGTTTCTTCAACATCGTCTCGTTGATGCTATTTGTAGTATTTGAACAATTGTCCAGCTTATTTGAGCCGTTAAAATGGGGCTGTATTGTCGCTATGACATTATTCGGAATAACTTATGGGTAGGTCAGCTACCTTTAAACCACTGTTCACAGCTAAATTTTGTACAACAGGTATTATTACAGTATCGGTCTTGGTCCAATAGCTTTCTTCATCACGTCGGAACTTGTTGCTCAACAACACCGATGTGCACGCAACCAACGTGTGCACGGGAAGAGAGCAGAGAGAGGAGTCCCGGAACTTGGCACGGCAAATAGCCATTTCTAATGGCTACGAAACTGTAGCTCAGGATAGGTGTAGAGGAAATCGTAGGCCTTCAAACGACAACTCTAGCGATAAAAGGGTCCCGTTTATCCTACCCTTTATCTCAAATGGTATAAGTGCAGCTATAAAACGCTGCTTAAGAAGGGTGGGTTTAGAGAATTCGGTAAGCGTAGTTGAAATACCACCGAGTAATCTTAAGCGCCAGCTAGTTCGTAGCCGCCTATATGACCGTCTATGTGCAACTCAAAATTGCATAATTTGCCCCAGTGGTAGAGACGGTGATTGCATGAGCTCGGGTATAGTTTATCTGATCTCCTGTAAGACGTGTGGTGACGAATACATAGGCGAAACGGGTAGACCCTTCTGTGTCCGCATGAAAGAACACCTAGCCAGCAAAAATAGACCAAATACACCGCTAGGCACGCACAGGACCCAGAGACATAACGGGGACGACTTCGAAGTATGTGTCACGATCCTCGCACGCGAATCAAGAACACAGGCGCGAAAAACTCTCGAAGCATTCTGGATTAATTCCAGAAATCGGAAAATGAACCGCAGGGAAGAATGCCTCATTATCATGCGTGATATAGGGCAGTATATAAGACTGCTATTCTGATGGTAGGGGCACATTATGCTTCCATGTGACTTCTGTGCGGTTGGTCTCTACGTGACATACTTAGTGGAAACCTCATAGGAAGCGGTGAGTTTACAAAGCTGTGTTCAAAGTGATTGAAATCTTGGTTTAGAGTTTCTTTGTTTGGTTATGGAGGCGTCTGGCCGAGTAGATTGCTATCAACTTGACCTTTCCAGGCTCTGAGGAAGGCGAAATCCTCCGAAACGTCAGCTCATTCGTGAATAAAGAATAATAACACCTCGCGTTTGCTCAACAAAAATACGAAGAAAATTACTTGGTCAATGCCGAGGTTAATAGAAAGTCGGTCGTGGCAGTTACTCTCTGTTGGGTTTTATGAGGGTTTAATCTCCTAAGCGCTCACTTCAGCAATATATAATCTTCACACATCTTTCGTTTTCCTTATAGCATGTTAATTGCCTCGTTTAACCTTTTCATATCAACCACAGTGTATCACTATCGTGTATTTGTATTGCTGTACATATTTGTTAGTGCATTCTGTTTATTCATGTTACTACTTACTGAGCCACCTTACTTGCAATTTACTGTACATACATTTCTAGTCTGAGTTATCGTGTAAGTACGATGTGTATAAGCTATTTAATTGCCCAAGGTTGAGGTATCCAGCATTGTGACTGCTATTCAACAGAAGCCCCACGTGGCACAGGCAAAGGCGAGCAGCTAATTCGACCGAAAACTTAACAATGATCGGGCCACAGTAGCAAAGGCGGCGGCAAATAAAACCATCCGTTATTTCGCATTATAAAGTGGATCGACCAACATGTCCCGTTTCATACTTACTTATTAAAACACAGGTTAGTATCATCTTATGATCTCGCGTCTACCAACCCTTTATCCTGCAAGGCTGGACCCATTATCAGCTGTGCAGATGGGCCAACGGAGAGAATAATATGGTTTCTAGGCCGAGTACTTACCCAACTCCGTAGCCGTTTCCAAGCTCACCTCACGTACATCCAAATGTTCCAAGAACATCTACGTAAGGCGTCTCCTAATAACGCGTACGTGATGGAGTTATTCAATGCTTAGCGCTCTACACCAACGTATCGAATGACTCTGCAATGCAAGCCATCCACGAACTTCTTGTTGAACATGGAGGTGGAATACATATGCATGGATTGTCTATTCAGCAGCTCCCTAAAAGAATGCCTAAATTGCTCGGTTTTCAGATGGTCTGGGAAATATTTCGCGCAAATAAGGGGGTTGGCAATGGGACAGCGATTGGCACCAAGCCTGGCCATTGTGTTCATATCTAAAATAGAAGCCCCCGTTATCGATCTCCGGCCGCTACTCTACTGCGGAATATAGATGATTGCTTTGTCATCTCCTCCACTCAGGAGGAGATGGACAAATGCTTTGAATTATTGAATGACCACTCTGAGTATATTAAATTTACCCGAGAGATACCGAAGAGACCTGGCTTCCATTTCTAAACGTTCATATCAACTTATCAGGCTGCAGTTACGTGACAAAGTGGCATCGGAAACCAAATAACAAAAACATTCTAGTTCATTTCCTCTCTTTCTACCCTTCACACACAAGGTGAGCGATTACTTCGAACAGTCGCCTCAGTGTGCACGAAAGAGGAACGAAAAAAGGAATCACGCGAAATGGCTCGGCGAGTAGCCATCTCCAATGCCTATGAAATTGTTTCCGCACAAGATATAAGTTTAGAAGAAGAGCAACGCCACCAAGTGAAACACTTGGCTAAAAGAAAGTACCGTTCATTTTGTCCTTTATTAGCGATGAAGTAAGCGTAGGTATTAAACGATGCATAATTAGGGCAGGTCTAGAGGAATCGGTAGCGATAGTTGAAATGCCACCGGTTACTCTATATCGTCAGTTAGTTCGTCACCACCTGTATAACCGTCTATGTGAAACAATAAATTGCCTAATTTACCCTTACGGCAGGGACAGTGATTGCATGAGTTCAGGTACGATATACCTGATCTCGTGTAACAATTGCGGAGATGAATATATTGGCGAAACGGGCAGACCTTTGTGTATCCGTATAAAAAAACACCTAGGTGGCAAACGAAAACTAAGACAAAGTACCCCATTAGGCACGCACAGGATACAAAAGCATAGCGGAACCGATTTTGAAGTAAAAGTCAATATCCTAACACAGGAGAGTAAAACACTAGCTCGAACGCTTCTTGAGGCTTTTTGGATAATTGCCAAAAACCTTATAATGAATAGGAGGGAAGAATGCCCAAAGGTCACACACGACCTGGCCCCGTACGTTCGCATCAAATTCTAATGTGGGATGGTGCAGTCATCAGCCATATGCGACTACAGTCAACTGTTCCAGCCTCGCTTATTGGCAATCACGCAAAAACGGTGTTTTTCGAGAAGCTGTTGGTCGCTTAATTGCCATGGAGTTTCTCGTCTTTTTGTGAGCGTTATTGAACCGTTTGGCCTAGTAGATTGTATATCAGTATTCTTTTCCAGACTCTGAAGAAGGCGATACTGTCAAACGTCAGTTACTGTTGTGTTTCATTGTGTTTCTCTATGGAAGTAAATGTATGCTGAGCAAGAAAACGACGCATTCATATTCCAATGCCGAGGTTAATTGGAAGTCGATCCTAGGAATCAGTCCTTCAAACAATCAAAATCCTTCCACATCTATGTGTTCAGGATTAGTTACTTTTGTGGTGTGTTGACTTTTGTAAGAAAACAATGGCATGTAGTTGTTTCCTTTTGGCCTACCACATTGTCACTCATTTCTGCAAAAGTTTGTTGCTGGTTTTATTTCCATTTTTGTACTACTTTTGGTTTTTTGTTACACCTTAGCAAAACTAGTACTCTACGGTGGAAAATTGCGAATATATTTACGGCTATCAAATGAATTCCTCTCAACGGTTCACCGCCACAGCGTGGCTGGAAAATGTTTCTGGGTGTCGAGCCGCGATTTACAACGTAGGGATCTATCTTCCGGTTGGACCTCCCAAGCTCAGAAAGAGTTCGACGTTTTCATCAGGAAGTCAAGCTAAGAGCTGGTATCAGGCTTGTCGCATGGTGGCAAATCCCAGTCTGATCCACAGGGACTGCTACTGCCTGTCGTGGTGACCACCTGCGGCGGATTTTGGCCAGGCTGACTTCGGGACTCCAGGGAACCACAATCGCCAATCCAACAAAACTCCTAAAAATGGAGCTTGTGCTAGGGTTTGCACAACCGCTGTGGACGGGCCGTCTAGGTACCCAACCAAGATCAAATAAATATCACCTAATTTCACCGTATTTCTCCCAATAAAAGGCGCATATGGCGCAGTGCTCGGAGGTGCTCTGCAATACACGTGTGGAGTCAATCCCTGCGCCCATGGCCCAGCAAACCTTCCATCCCTCCGGAGTCGGCAAAATGGTATCAGATTTGTCTGGGAGGTTAGTAGCACTGGCTCGATACATCGGTAAGCCACTGTAAGTCATTCTAAACTCTAGATAAGCATGCAATCGCCTCCAACGATAATAATTGATGTCGAATGCGTGGCGCATCTCTCAGGGATTGATCAACGCCGACAGCTTTATCCATTTTTATTCTCTCAATACTGCGAATGTTTATGTTTCATTTTTTCTCGCAAACACATTGATCTTAGGACAGTTGCGATTTCGTGGAAAACTGCACACAACCAGCCTCCACCATGCCGACGCCTGGAGAGCACGTCGATCTTCGAGCGTCAGCTGCTGAACCCTTATGAAAATCGGAACAAGCCCGTTTGTACAGCCGTATTGGGCGAATCAAGTTGTGGTGCCTTACTCTGCAAAGTATGTCTGATGGGACCATCTGAATACTACTCATTTACAAGTAATAAGGAGTCAAGAGTAGGAAAGCGCCGAATATTTAGGGTAAAGCTTTCGCTTTCTCAAGCTTTATACTCGACATTCGATTTCGGTGCCGTTTTTAGTTCATCAATGAGTTCATTTTTCATTGCGTGATTTCCTCGTTTTTCTCCACTAATTGTACTTCTTTTCTGATTTCCTGTGCAATGTGAGGTCTTCTTTTCTTTTTCACCTCTCATTCCTTCCACATATTTTCACCAAACTATTCCTTTTTTGTCAATTCCACAGGTTTTTTGCCCGATATGTCGGGCACATGGTAGAGTCAAAGTTGTTTATCGGAAGCAAAAAAGGATACGGAGTTGTTAATTATGATATTTTCTGTGCGAGGCTTTATGTCTGATCTCACATCGCTCCGAGATTTCGATAATCCACTTGTTGGGAAGCAAAACGTCCCGGTTTTCGGTGTATCAAGTACGGTACCCATAAACTCTTGTTTTCTATCTTTTCGACTTATCCAGCATCTCGCTACTGATGTATTTTATGGTGGCTGTAAGGCATTTACTGTTACTGTGTCTGACTTCACCGAAATGGATAAATTTATCGTGGAACCGTACTTTCTTGTTTACAATAGATGTTTTTCTATCGTAACGAAAAAAGTAACAAAATGTCTAACTATAAAAGTTAAAAAACCCTCGGAGTTTTTTTTCTGTTAAGAAGTAGAGCTTCGTTATCGGAATTCGAAAAAAAAAGATAACTTTTTATTTACTGTCTTTAATACTTTCTTATGGTGTAGTATTACCTATCGCCTTGCAGTCGCAAAGGCATTTCGTGGTGTGCCTCACGCCGCGAACTGTGGCCTCAACGGCGACTACAGAGAAAGGGTGAGTTACTTTGTGTGTTTTTGCTAAGTGACCGCGCGGCCACGTGGCCTATAAACGTATCACTCTCTTAATAACTGTAGAAGGCTGTGCTGAAATGAGTTAGAGTTCTTTTGTCAACCAGTGCTACTGCTTACAAGAAGCACAACAAAACTGCACTGCGTTTATTGGCTTTAACCATCTCTGGAATTTACAGCATAAGGTGTGCTATACAAAACTTCAGCGTGGAAGAGAAATGCTGCGTCGATAAAAGTTGCATAAGGTGATTCTCCTTTAGGAGAGATGAAGGAAGAAAAAACGGCGATGGTGATGAACTCGACACTATTGGTGAAACACCTCACACCGAAGGCGTGCTAGTCGCAAGGTATGGATATTATTATATTGTAATGCTGCTGCTGCAGCAAAACAACATTACCGCCGTAGTTACAATGTATAGCTTTTATCTACTGCCCACTAATTGTTTTCACGACAGGGTGCTATGTGAAAAACAACAACAATAACGCTGAGGTATTTGCAAAGCTTGGAGGTCAGGCCAAATCGAACCGCGATTACACATTCCGGGGTCACGTGTTGCATACGTCACCACTTAGGTCCGCTTTCTCTCTTTCTCTCAGCCAGTCTTTCTCTCCTCATGGTACCACAATCAATCTCACCAAAGGAAGTGATCTGAGGAGCGCAAATCGGCATTAAGCCCTGTTTATCCAGAGCAGTAGTAGAAACCGCCGTGTATAAGTTTAACGTGAGTTTGTTTAATGCCGATTTATGCTATTCAGATCATTCTCGATTACGGGTGACTGGTGATGAAACCCCTAGGGCAAAAAGATTGGGTGACAGAAAGGCAGAACGAAGGGCTCTACGGTGCCATACGTAACACGTCAACCCCTAGAAAGGGTAGTCACTGTTTGATCCAACCTTGGGTCCAAGTTTTGCAAATATCTCAGTATCACCGTTACTGCTGTCTTATTCAACACAGTCTAGCACCGTTTATTTCGCGAAGGATGCAAAAACAGTTGAATTCGTCCTCGATTTAAGCGCTGCAATGCTGCTTTTTCCGGCAGTGTGCCATAAATTTTCAGTAGCTAGACGACTAAAGGAGTTGAAAAAATTGTAGACAAACAGATCAGGCTTTGCTTTATCCACCTATAGGTAAAATGTTGCTGCCACCTGCTGCATTTCTTTGTATCTTTTATTTAATAGAGGATATTATGCTGTCAGTAAGGTGCTCATTTAATTAATTGTGGACTGTTAGCATGCATTACGTAAACAAGTAAATACATACGTCTTCAATTTTAATGACAACAGAAAATAAGAGCGAAGTGAAGATGGGAAAGGCGACGCCTTTATTTTTGCAAGGAGTGGTAGGCCGGTGAACAAGAATTCCTTGCTGAATTCTGCCTAGCAAGGTGATCTAATGCTTTGGTGGTATGAATGTTCTTGTGGAGTTGTATTCATTCCACCTCAGTAATGCGTGTATTAGTGATCGAGTGTAAATGGACAGTTTTGAAGTTTGTTTTCGAGCCATCGAGATGTGATGGATGTGCAGGTTGTAATTATAGGCCTTACTTTTGCATTCCTATTGAAATCAGTTAACTTATTCTGTTTTTTGTTTCACCATGTCTCTCACACTGATTCTGTGTTTTTCTTAGCACTATTTACCCCCGTTGTTTAATGTATTACTGTTCAATTTTTTGTTCAAATTTAAAGAACCGTGTGCATATCCATTTTCATTTCTGTCAAGAAACGCCACGTGATGTAGCTTCGCCTTATATTTCGACCTTGCGATCTTCTCCGCTCCATACGAGCATCAGTAGAGTCACTCCATTCGCTTATCTTCTGATCATATGGTTTGCGTCACTTTGTTCATTCTTCGCATGAGTAGTCATCTATTTCCGAGGTAGTACATCCGGTACAGTGTGAGTACTACTACATCCACTATTTCTATGATGGCTTCCTTTCCCTCTACAATACGGTGTGTATTTACCCTTGCAGATTCTGTTACTATAACTGCGCCTCCTCAGTTATGCTTTTGGAGGTTTAGTGAGGGAGACATAGCCGAAATGTCGGCCATCACACTCTAAAAAAAAGAGATGCCAAGCTCGCACTGGTAGAACCCAAGGTTAAATGAGTGTTGAACTTTTGGGTTCCTTGACTTACAATCAAATGAAAATAATCCGTTGAAACAGGTTTGTATATAAAATCGCCGCAATAGTAACCAGAGCTGCGGCCATGCTGCGGTCACGACTAACGTACCTAGAATTGGGAAGAGCGAATCAGTGATAGATAGGGGATATTGCTGTGCAGAGAGGCAAACTTTAAATGTCTTTTTTGCGACGAATGGAGACAGTTGCGGCAGTCATTATTGTTGTGCGTGCTATCACTGAGGTAAAGAACAAGCCGACGAGAGGAATCGGAAAAACTGTGATTATAACAATCATAACATGTGAATATAGTATTGGAATTAGATCTGCATGGAGATAGTAACAGCAATTGCCATTTATCTCAAGGTAAGCGAATGTTGAACGGCTGCTTCTTAAAAGAATATTATTTTCCAATGTTCCCTGCATGAGCCCGCTTTGTTCCAGCACGCTTGGGGTGGAATCGACAAGAATTTCACTCTCAAATCTCCTTACACAGGCACACACAATGGAACTAACCACTACCCGTCAAGATGAACACGTAGGGGTAGTCAACGAATTAAAAAACACCAAGCTGTATAAGGTTAAACTAACCAAGCTACTCAACTTGTGAGGGTTGTAAAAGTAATAAAACGGTACTGTGCGACACCATAAGAAGTTGAGCAATAATTTAATAATCGGACCATTACCTAACTTCTCTATGGAAAATTGTAGGCTTTAAAAACACTTCTTTATGATTCGTGGACGATTATATTGGTTGCTGCCATTGTTGAGTCCGAAAAGGACAAGTGAAACGCAGTGGTAAGTGGTCCCTATAGGACATACCTCTTTTTCGCATCGTTCATGCACCCCAGGATCATCAAGCCTTTCATCACAACTGGGGTCGAAAAATTTGCACAAAACTTGTCAAGAAGGATTGCAGCACTTGTTCGATGTATAGACACACCACCGCGAGTCATTATACACAAAGTCACAAACATACATTCGGTCGTCTCAAACGGTTTAAGAAGTCCGATGCATGGCGCATACCTATCGGATTGATCAACGCCGACAACTTCATCCTTTGTCCTTCGTAAATATATGTAGTATATATATATATATATATATTTTTAGTACCTCACTAACATGCATATTTCGATGGCTCATGCTCAGTGGTTTTGCGCGCCCCAACAAAATTTTCATCGTCTCGGTGCTTCGCTGGTTCAGCTATTGCAGCTCCCTGGAGTCCAGGGCTCAGCCTAGCGAAAGTCTAAGCCCCAGGTCGCCGCTACCAAAGGCAGTCACCGCCTTTGTGGATCAAAGGAAGATTTGCCACCTCGAGACAAGTTCGATACCAGGACGGTTGTAGTTTATGATAGTGGTTAACTTTTAGTTGGGCTTCCTGACAGAAATGCCGGACTCCTTCTCAGCCTGGGAGACCCTGCCGGAGGATTAAAACCCCGCTGTACATCGCATCCCGTCACCCGGGAACACCTTCCAACCACGATAAGGCGTTAAACAGCTGGGACGTTTTAAGAGTTGAAAGAATAAAAGATCTCGAGTAGAAATCAAACCAACAATGTTTTCCTTCTTTTTTTCTGCCTGCTACAGTTTCACGGTGGGGTATTAACAGCTTTATGATATTTAATGACATACTACCATGAGCGAGGTTTAGAATTCCTAGCTTCTCTATTTAGAGAGACGCATGTTACGCATTTTGTTACACAGTGCTTAGTAATTGTCCCACACCAGAAACCTAGGGTGGTCGCCACCACCAGACACCCTTTGGTACGACATGATTTTCAGTCGATAATCTCCTTTTTTCAGTTCTAGTTGTTTTTGATGCTTTATTGCTTTCACATTTATACAACACTTGTTTTCAAAACGTTTTCATGCTATGCGATGATTGCTAGATCAATTAGCTATTGCTCAAAAGTCCCTAGCATCCAACGAGAGCACGGCAACTTCTGTGTGAGCAAGCCATCGCTAAGGTTAGATCTGCTTAGGAATGAACATAGAAATCCAAGTAAGAGCTTTGTTGATTAACCTTGCATTGGCATCAAACCAAGCAGAGGTGTCCAGTTGGTCCAACCTTCGTTGTGCAAAAGACCACAAACGAAGAATTGCTCGATACAAAATCTTTCCCAATTTCATCAAAGACATACGTATTACTCGAGTACTTCCATGCTGCTTGCGAATGTCAAATGTTGAGTGCCTTCATTCTTTGGTTTTGTTATTGTCAACGTGGAAGAATTTTGGGACTTGTTATGTTGTTATGACCACCGACAACAACTGAGAAGATGGCTATGAATCAGTCAGGTGGGTAGACAATGTTAAACCTGAAGTAAAATTCACCTAAAGGATTACTCATTAGATATGGAAAGTTAAGTACGTGTTACAGCCGAAATAGGTGAGGCAAAAATTCCTGCAAACATTTCTAGCTGCCCGTTATCTACGGAGCGCAACTTGTCCGGTTTTCTGATTTCGCCGATGACGATCTGCCAATGAAGCTGTGTCATTCATCTCTATAGGCAGTGAAATAATTTTCATTGGCTTATCCGCCTCTTCTTTTTTTTTTCTCTTGTTTTCCAACACATTTGTCGTCTGTGGTGCACGTAACTGAGAAGCCGCATTGTTAACCGATCCTAATCATTTCTATAGCAATTCGAATCTGGAGAATGCACAATATCGCCAATCCTGAAACGATCTATTCCACCTCAATTTAGATTTCGATAAATTTTTGAAGAAAAATTTTACACTGTGGCGATTGTACGTCCATCTATCCTCGGAGATACGAAATTTGCCTATTCCGTTACGCGTCAAAAAGGTGAGTGTTTGGATATTTTATTGGACATGCGAAATAATACATAAGTATATATATATATACATACATTTTATTGGACATACTAACGAAGGGCTACCGATGCGTCGTGTTTTCCTCCTCCCAGATCACCAAGGAATGGAAGATTTGCTTTGTTGACTGGGAGACCGAAACCAAACCAACAATGTTGCCACTGTTGATCACATGTTATTGCTCTATTTAATGCAAGTTTTTTTTACATTGTTTTACATTGTTTTCCCGATGAAATAAAGCACGAACAAAAGGCAAATTAATAATCAGGGAACCCAGAGAACAAGACGCGCTTATGCATTCGATGAATTTTTCACTATAGTTTGCAAGATCGACTCTATATTAACCTCAGCACTGATCAAATGATCCACTGCATTCGAGATAAGCTGAAACTGCTCCGTCAGGATGTCGGAGTGCAATCATCTTGGCTTTGTAATTGACGGAGCTTCGGTGACTTTTCAAATGCTTTTCCAGCCACTGCAGCTTCAACCACAACTGCTGCTCAAGTCTCCTTGAGATTTTCTTTTACTCCCCCTTGTAACGTTTTGCAAGCTCGGAAGTGAGCTCGAAGCGGCCCGTTGATCGGGAGATGCCTCCTGAGCGTATCAGCTCGAGTGTTTCTGGTGACAGACTTCTCATCGCAATTTTTAAATTCTCAGCTTTCATAGCTCCTTAGTGAAAATATAGAATAAGCCACTCGTTTTCTTCGTCGATGTTGCCAATGAAGAGATCTTTCCAAACGCTGACTAGTCAGCAGAACAAATCCCAGTTCATGGTAACTTCATGGATTGGTTTTTTGAATTTAGCGAATTTTTCTGCTGTACGCGAGAAATGAAATCTCTCAGGGAGGGAAAGGTTTGTTAGTGTGCAGAATTCTAGGATTGCGGCGACATCAATTAGGCAAGGCCTGCTGTATAATATGACAGAACAGCTGAATGACTTTATGACAGTTCTCATAAACATGCTGGCTCGGCTATTCACACGTTGCCTGTCTGAATGGAAGGTGGAAGACTCAGTGGAAGACCAGCAAGACCGCGAAATTATTCAGGAACGGTTATCTCCACAATATCGGCAAATATCACCCAATCTGCGTGCTATCTGTCGTCTACAAATGTGTTCATCTTCACTCGAATCGTCTTAAATAGG